TGCAAAATCTGTTTCTCTGCTACAATTATAGTCTATACTGCATCAAAAAGAAAAATATATTATTAATTTTAACAAAGCAGTGATTTATAATGAATTAGCTTACGTTTGTATTATAACTTTTTAAATGACTTAATATGTTCTAACAAATATTGTACTTCAACCTTTCGAGTCAATGACCTCCATCTCGACAGGCTTTTGCTGAGTGGATGCTGATGGGCCCATTGTTTTGCTTCTGGACGTAAATGTAACTTACTAGGCGCACGTTTTTTTGAACTCTCCTTTTGCTTGTAATGGTAGGAGTAGAAGTAAGGGCGAGTTATTTTGTTAGCAATGCAGAAAATCATATTGCCAATTCGTTTTACCCGATGCACAAATAAGTTTTCTACAATATACTCGGTGAACGAAAAACGTCTATTTTTCCAAAAATACTGTAATTTCGCGTTTTTTAAAATTTTATTTTTATTCACTTATTTTAAACTTTTTCTCGTCATTTTCAACCTATTATAGTTTTAAAAAACTGAATGGAGAGGGATTCTGGAACTCAGAGAAAAACGTGCGCTGGATGATATTCCCCATCACGTCAATACAGTTTTTACTATTTTTTTGACTATAATAAATCTAATCGATAGGCCTAATAAAATCTAATCCTATAGCCGTAGTAAATTTCAATCTTTCAAATACATCGCGCGTAATTGATGTTCTTAATATCTTTACAATGGCGATGGCAGCAGCCCAATTTTCAAGTGTGTTTGTTGTGAACTTGCGATCCTCCCATACTGGTACGAGACATAGAGTAGAGATATATTTGTATCTCTCCTCTATGGTAGAATACGAGACGGGAGCCGGCAATTGCCCTTAGTAAATCATCGGTGATAGTATTCAACCATCGAAGTGTTGAAGAAACAAATGAGAAAAGAAACCGCGAGAACGATCGTGATTTTGACAATTCAAACACTGCGAACTAAAGGGAGGGGTGCGAATGGGCGGGCAAGTGCGCTGAATTTGCGCATCGTGTTCAGCTGCTAGTACGCCGTGCAAAGCCACCGTGTTGTTTGGGAAATAGCGATTTACTAAGTGAGGCCTATGTGTGTGTGAATGTTAATTATCCATTGTTTTGGGGTGTTCAAGTTGATATTTGTTAACATGTTTATGAAGAAGAGTGAAAAGAAAAAACGGAAATCAAAAAGACATTCAACTGAAAATAGGGAAGAATGTGAAAAGAATGGTGTGATAAATGAAGTAAATTTTGTTAAAATGCAAAAAGCAAGGATAGAGAATAGAGAATGTGAGGTAATGAAAGCAGAGACAGACAATGATAATGTAACTGAGCAAAAGAGAATTAAAAAGAAAAAACGAAAATCAAAAGTGCTTTCAACTGAAAATAGTGATGAATGTGAAAAGAATAATGTGATAAATGAAGGAAGTATTATTAAAGAGCAAAATGTAAGGATGGTGAATGAAAAATTGGATGTAAAGGAAGCTGAGGGAGAGAATG